AGAGGGAGAGAGCAGCAGGTGCTCCGAACCCTGGCCATGCAACCAGCTGTTGAAGGAGCACTTGGACTCGCCGTGTGTGCTGTTACAGGCATGACTCCCAGGAAACAGAGAGGACTACGACCCTGGCTCCTGCTTTCAGCATACATTGTGTTGAGCTATACATGTGGTGCCCAAGAAAACAGGGCTTTTTTAGGAATTACACACATCTAACTCCTAACTTGAAGGAGTGTACTCTCAACATTTTGAGATACTTTTGAATCTTTTTGTCTGTTTTCTTCACTTGCAGTCAAATGCTTATCGACATGCTGATGCCAAACAGGCACAAAACACATGTGAATCTCACCCTGCCTTTATCCACACAGGGGAGGACTCCTGACAGCTGAGACCCCCAAGTTTGGCTAGTTCACCTTGGTCAAATCACTGCACATGACTAAATTGGAGAGAGTCACAAATTCAAACACACACATCTAGCACAATGGAAAGAAACAACATTTTTAAAGTGCATATGGGGCTGTTGAGTGAATGGGTCAAAAAGGTATACTCAGCACATTATCTTTTCCCTGCATCTGAGGTCTTCTGGTGTCAAGATTGGCATCAACAGCCCAGAAATCCTCAGAATTACCTGGGGGTCGTTGGCTCTTGTCCAGCTGCTTCGTCACGGTCATTCTGATTGTCTGGGAAGAAATTCAGAGACAGCAGGTCACGATGAACTAATCACACCTCACGCATGCCAACACACTGCACGCAGGTAGCACAAGGACATTAATATTCTCAGTGCAACAACAGAATATTTTAGGAGAGGTATTTCAGGACACTTAAGTCTTAGGAGATTTACACAGGACTTCTGCCAAATGCTTGGGGGACATTCTCTGGCTGATCTGGGTGAGCTTTTTCCCACTATCCCATCTTCTGAGACTGTAGATTTCATAGAATATTTTCCTTCAAGTTCCTAGAAATCAGCTCAGGTGCTTTCTAGAAGACTTTCTATACTATTGCTTCATCCCATCACATAAGGCGGTTGCTGATGCTATGGAGGAATTTGTGCTTGAGACCAGGTGAATTCTACAAACCTTCAAATCCATGAGAAAATCTGCTGCTACACAGAAACCATGGGCATTCAAGGCTGGAGAGACTGCCAGAGCCCAGCCTTACTTCATGGAAACATCCGAGCAAGGTACAGGAACACTGGGTTCTTTTCTGATTTTCAAACATCTACTTAACTAAGAGAAGCCAACAACAGGAAGATGAAGACTTGCACTGACATCAGTGAAACCAGAGACACCACATGACCTAACATATAGGGGAGGCTACCATTCTGTTTGCTAAGGCAGAGAAAGGCTAGGGACAGTGTCCAAAAGAACACTTAGATCACTGTAGGTTGGAAGACACACTTCACACAAACGATGTCTGACAGACACTTTGTGTGAATGTTCCGCGAAAG